AATGATCTATAAAACCTTCTCACAATGATACGTAATAATGATCTATAAACCTTCTCACAATGATACGTAATAATGATCTATAAACCTTCTCACAATGATACGTAATAATGATCTATAAACCTTCTCACAATGATACGTAATAATGATCTATAAACCTTCTCACAATGATACGTAATAATGATCTACAAACCTTCTCATAATGATACGTAATAATGATCTATAAAACCTTCTCACAATGATACGTAATAATGATCTATAAACCTTCTCACAATGATACGTAATAATGATCTATAAACCTTCTCACAATGATACGTAATAATGATCTACAAACCTTCTCATAATGATACGTAATAATGATCTACAAACCTTCTCACAATGATACGTAATAATGATCTACAAACCTTCTCACAATGATACGTAATAATGATCTACAAACCTTCTCACAATGATACGTAATAATGATCTACAAACCTTCTCATAATGATACGTAATAATGATCTACAAACCTTCTCACAATGATACGTAATAATGATCTACAAACCTTCTCACAATGATACGTAATAATGATCTACAAACCTTCTCTGCAAATGATACGTAATAATGATCTACAAACCTTCTCACAATGATACGTAATAATGATCTACAAACCTTCTCACAATGATACGTAATAATGATCTACAAACCTTCTCATAATGATACGTAATAATGATCTACAAACCTTCTCACAATGATACGTAATAATGATCTACAAACCTTCTCACAATGATAACAACAAACAAGCTTGGCAAATTATGGTATACTTGTGACATCCATGTAATAATACGTAACGGCCGGGCAGTGATATTGATAGTGGACGGTCAATACATGCATAACCTCCGTGCAATGATATTGAAAGTGGACGGTCTATGCATGACGTCCGTGCAATGATATTAATAGTGGACGGTCTATGCATGACGTCCTTGCAATGATATTGATAGTGGACGGTCAATACATGCATAACCTCCGTGCAATGATATTGAAAGTGGACGGTCTATGCATGACGTCCGTGCAATGATATTAATAGTGGACGGTCTATGCATGACGTCCGTGCAATGATATTGATAGTGGGCAATGATATTGATCCGTGCAATGGTCAAAAGTGGATGGATGCATAACCTCCGTGCAATGATATTAATAGTGGGCCGGTCTATGCATGACATCCTTATTATTGATAGTGGGCCGGTCAATACATACATAACCCCGTGCAATGATATTAATAGTGGGCCGGTCTATGCATGACGTCCGTGCAATGATATTGATAGTGGGCCGGTCAATGCATGCGTCCTTGCAATATATTGATAGTGGGCCTACATGCATAACCTCCGTGCAATGATATTGAAAGTGGACGGTCTATGCATGACGTCCGTGCAATGATATTAATAGTGGACGGTCTATGCATGACGTCCTTGCAATGATATTGATAGTGGACGGTCAATACATGCATAACCTCCGTGCAATGATATTGAAAGTGGACGATCTATGCATGACGTCCGTGCAATAATATTAATAGTGGACGGTCTATGAGTATGACGTCCGTGCAATGATATTGATAGTGGACGGTCAATACATAACGTCCGTGCAATGATATTGATTGTGGACGGTCAATACATAACCTCCGTGCAATGATATTGATAGTGGACGGTCTATGCATGACGTCCGTGCAATGATTTAATAGTGGACGGTCTATACATAACGTCCATGCAACGATATTAATAGTGGACGGTCTATGCATGACGTCCGTGCAAATATATTAATAGTGGACGGTCAATACATAACGTCCGTGCAATAATATTAATAGTGGACGGACTATGCATGCATAACATCCGTGCAATGATATTAATAGTGGACGGTCAATACATATCGTCCGTGCAGTGATATTAATAGTGGACGGTCTATGCATGCATAACGTCCGTGCAATGATATTAATAGTGGATGGTCTATGCATGCATAACCTCCGTGCAATGATATTGAAAGTGGACGGTCTATGCATGACGTCCGTGCAATGATATTAATAGTGGACGGTCTATGCATGACGTCCTTGCAATGATATTGATAGTGGACGGTCAATACATAACCCCCGTGCAATGATATTAATAGTGGACGATCTATGCATGCATAACGTCCGTGCAATGATATTAATAGTGGACGGTCTATACATAACGTCCGTGCAATGATTTTAATAGTGGACGGTCAATACATAACGTCCGTGCAATGATATTAATAGTGGAAGGTCTATACATAACGTCCGTGCAATGATATTAATAGTGGAAGGTCTATACATAACGTCCGTGCAATGATATTAATAATGCGGGCTACATAACGTCCGTGCAATGATATTAATAGTGGACACGGTCAATGCACATAACGTCCGTGCAATGATGTTAATAATGCGACGGTCTATACATAACGTCCGTGCAATGATATTAATAGTGCACGGTCAATGCATAACGTCCATGCAATGATGTTAATAATGCACGGTCTACACATAACGTCCGTGCAATGATGTTAATAATGCACGGTCTACACATAACGTCCATGCAATGATGTTAATAATGCACGTGCTACACATAACGTCCGTGCAATGATGTTAATAATGCACGTGCTACACATAACGTCCGTGCAATGATGTTAATAATGCACGGCCTACACATAACGTCCATGCAATGATTTTAATAGTGCACGGTCAATACATAACGTCCGTGCAATGATGTTAATAATGCACGGTCTACACATAACGTCCATGCAATGATGTTAATAATGCACGGTCTACACATAACGTCCGTGCAATGAGTTTTAATAATAGTGCGGTCAATACATAACGTCCGTGCAATGATGTTAATAATGCACGGTCTACACATAACGTCCATGCAATGATGTTAATAATGCACGTGCTACACATAACGTCCGTGCAATGATTTTAATAGTGCACGGTCAATACATAACGTCCGTGCAATGATGTTAATAATGCACGGTCTACACATAACGTCCATGCAATGATGTTAATAATGCACGTGCTACACATAACGTCTGTGCAATGATTTTAATAGTGCACGGTCAATACATAACGTCCGTGCAATGATGTTAATAATGCACGGTCTACACATAACGTCCATGCAATGATGTTAATAATGCACGTACTACACATAACGTCTGTGCAATGATATTAATAGTGCACGGTCAATGCATAACGTCCGTGCAATGATGTTAATAATGCACGTGCTACACATAACGTCCGTGCAATGATATAAATAGTGCACGGTCAATGCATAACGTCCATGCAATGATGTTAATAGTGCACGGTCAATGCATAACCTCCGTGCAATGATGTTAATAATGCACGTGCTACACATAACGTCCATGCAATGATGTTAATAATGCACGTACTACACATAACGTCTGTGCAATGATATTAATAGTGCACGGTCAATGCATAACGTCCGTGCAATGATGTGAATAATGCACGTGCTACACATAACGTCCGTGCAATGATATAAATAGTGCACGGTCAATGCATAACGTCCATGCAATGATGTTAATAGTGCACGGTCAATGCATAACGTCCATGCAATGATGTTAATAGTGCACGGTCTACACATAACGTCCATGCAATGATGTTAATAATGCACGTGCTACACATAACGTCCGTGCAATGACGAATAGCGTGGTCGTGAAGAAGGTCCTGACTTCTGATTGGTTATACCACCCCGTTATCTCCACCGATCCCATCATCAAACAACTCAACTGTTTCCATTAACTATTTTATCACCTCAGTTGTGACATGTTCTTTCATCTTAAATTTTTGTGTCGAAATAACAACCGACGTTAATTAAATTTCTGGTATATTTTGTATCCTGTACAGAAGTGTGGCACGGGGTGATACGACGGTGCGAAAGGCAGTTACGCAACCTTATCGGTGTCACAGTCATTGACACAGGTGTGATAGACACAAACACTACAACATACAGGGGTGGGACACACCTCATTCGCATTAACTTGTCACCGATGGCGTTTGCTTGTTTACCTTGATAAACAACTTCAGCCTTGACAGATACAGCACACCTTCAGCTTTGTGTGGCCGGGATTATTACGGTTGTGAAATTAAATGACCTCGAATATTGAAAGGTTTAAATTCCAGTACATTTTTTTAAATGAAATAATCAAATATTGTGTCATTGCGAGCTGTCGTCGAACTATATATATATGTACATGTACGTGTGGCGGTGAAAGGGTAAATCATGTTTGCGTAGCTAGCGATATTTTCGGTAACATGTCCAACCTATCCTGAAGTATGTCACTCTTTGATCATATTGAAGCAGCTTCTGGTGAAATTTATACTAGAGAGAGAAAAAAAAATAATTCGCGATCCGGGAATGGATGTGTGTTACATAACGACGAGAAAAACAGTTACTGTCAAAACACGTAAGCTTTTAATATTTCTTGCCTTTGCAGATATATCTCTACAAATAGACCTACATGTATATGATATAGGTGCCACTGGCAGGGGACATGTCAAAATATATGACGACCAGGTGTCTTTAATGACATTGTATTTAAGATTACAAGGTCAAACATTATCAATAGCATGTTGGACAAATTCTCGATATTATTTTTTCGAGAAATGTCCTCTTCATTAATATGATAAAAATATACACGTTTAAAATATACACACAATGATGGAAACATTGTGACACAATCCCTGATGTGTGTCCTATCGTGATAAAATCTTTCTGTGTTCTCTACAATTTGGAGAATATCTTCCCTCTAAACATAAATTGTCGCATTAGTGGGTAATTGTATGGAAAACACTTCTTTTTATGAAAAGAAAATCAAACTTCAACTAGAATATACCAAGCAGGTGTCCGTTCGTAAAATGGTATTTCGCGCGACATGACGTTGCCGTCAAGCCTGTAAATAAAGATGTTGATTGGTTGAAAACGGTCACGTGCCGACTCTGTCCGCCATCTTGGACGGAACTGAGACGGCTTGGTTGTACACTGAAAGAAATTTTGTTTGAAATAAGCAAATCGAAGCCTCCATGGAGGAAAAACGGAGCTCAAGCAGGTAGCCCAGATCTTCAATTATACTTCTGCCAAATTACAACGTCGAAGTATATTTCTAAAGTCACTAAAACACCGATAACACTCTCGCATCGCGTTGGTTTTGTTCCTATACATAAACTATGGTTGACCTCGCGAATGAAAATAACTTGCGTCTGTTGACAATCATTATAAACAATGTCCCATGGTCTTGCAGATCAAAACGCCAGTCTAAGTCTGCCCCAGACGAAGGATTCTGGGACTGCAGTGTTTGCACGTACAAAAACTCCCCCGAAGCCTATAAGTGTGAAATGTGCGATGTCAGGAAAGGCACTTCTACCAGGTAAGGTGTTAGACGATATTACGACAGTCGCGTGCAGCTTGTCGTTAACATAAACAGTGTCTGTATCACAAACCTTCCCAACACCTACCAAGTGAGAATGCACGACATTACGGATCTACTGCGTTTTAGGAAGGTGTACAGAAAGCGTACCATACGCTTGTTTACCATTGTTTACACCAGGTAGGCAGTCCATTGCCAATAACATCTTACCAGCTGATCTAGACAGTGTGACCTACTTACCCACATCTTCTGACTAATCTGACCTACATATAGATTTTACAACTATGGCAGTGGTTGCCCTTAGTGTAACATTATATTAAGATTTCCTATATTTCCAAGGGAAATACGACATTGTTATATTTTTCAAAAGCTTATTTTTTGTGTACATATGTTTATCATTTCCAAAACCTGGAGGCTATTTAAATAAACTAATAATGTTGCAAATATATTAACATTTGTTGCGTGACTGACCACATGTTAGGTATAATTCAAATATAGGGTATTTGATTTCATTGTTTTCTCCACTCATCTGTTAAGAAAATTGTTTGTGAAACCAACTTAAATGTCACTAGTATTAGTAGTAACATTTGATCTCTGATACCAACTAACATGTATGACGGGGTATGTATGACGGTGCGATCCATTTCTTCACGCGGTTGTATGTTAAGAACAAAGGTGTATATGTAATACCTGAGAAAATTTGGCTTCCTGGATTGCACAAGTGATAGATCTAGGATATCAAAGATGATTTAGGACATTTGAACCTATCAGTTAAACAATCATGGAACATTCATCTAAAACAGGTGGACCAAATCCATTTTTGATAGTCTTGGAGAAGAATAAAGAACACATAAAACTTTAATAAAGCCTGACCTTTTATTTGTGATGTCACAAACCTTTCATGATTGGCTGCATTGCTTATACCAGTGCATTTTTGTCTTGTTCTGAAACATGCTGCTTAAAACATTTGTTGCATATTCTTAGCAGATGAACTTGTTTTAACAGCATCAATATGTACATGACGTCCATCATGGCAAATCTGTGTTGATGCCCCAAATCTGACATTCTGTCTATGAATGCGTTCTATTTTCTTTGTTCTATGCATCGTTTGCATTGCATCAAACCAATTTACATAACATTTCTGCAGCCAAACTGTTTGAAATCAACATTTTCTTTGGTGTTTCCTCATCTGATCAGGATGCCTTGTTGCTTGTCATGTACTTTACAAACAAATAATATTACTGGCTTAAAAAATTAGTTTAAAATTACACATATTTCAGCCAATCAAAATGGCTAGTAAAAATCCAGTCGGGCCAGTAAATCTCCACAAATTGTCACTGGTCCAACTGGCTAGTGGGGTCATTTTGTAAATATATCACTCTCTCCGACTTGTTAAGTTATAATACACTTTTAAATCATGCAAGATTATGGCCTGATATTAGTGATAAAAATGTCCATCATATTAGCAGCTTAATTACAAAACCTGTGTCATGCCGACACTATCTTTTTCTCATCTATTTTTGTAATCTTTTGCTTAGCTAACACATTCATAATTTGGACTAGTGAATTATTTTGTGAGCTAGTAATGTTCAGGCATAGCTAGCCTGAGTGGCTAGCGAAACTATTTCGCATACTGGCAGTGGGAGTGAAACAGACAGGACATATGAGATTTCTGTTCGTCACTAGCGTTAAAGCACTATGTAGATTCGTCACTGATAACATCAGGTACTTATCAACCATTTCAGTTACTGATGCCTACTTATTAGTGAAATGTTCTGGGGTCCCCTTCTGTGATATTGATGGAATATTGCTAAAAGTGGCATAAGACCATACTCACTCACTCACTTATAGTCGCCACCAGAACTACACACAACACCACAACAGATATACCTCACTGTTTTCTGCATGTACACTGTCATCCAGAACACATCAAACCACATTCTCTTGTGGTGAACCTACTGCTAATATGTCTTCTCATTTATTGTGATTGGTGCATCGTGCACCTTTTGCCAACCATTTTCACTATTTTGTTTACATTATATTATCATTTCTGTTTTCTCATCAATGAAAACTTCTTATGTTTGTGGGGACGTTAGGGTAGCCTAGTGGTTAAGGCATTGGCTCATCATGCCAAAGACCCAGGTTCAATTCCCCACATGGGTACAACTGGTGTCCCCCGCTGTGATATTGCTGGAATATTGTAAAACTAAATTCACTCACGCTATTGCTAATGTGTGATTGTCTATTAATTCTATGACCCAAGTGGATTTTTTGTGGTTAACATTAGTTTCAAACAACCTATGATGATAGACCCAGTAGATCTCATGGCCAGGTTTAGTGACTCGGTTGAATGTATCATGTCAAACCACGGCAGAATTGATTATTGTTTACGTATTTGATCCATGGTTTATCTGGTCCAAATTACTTGTGGTTGTCTATTGGATGGAATGGTATCTGCAACAGCGAAACAAACATTAATATTCCGTTTCCATCTCTACGTAAAAAGGATCGACAGTCATTTGTTTGCTGTTCTCTTGACTCGTACATCGGAAAGTGACTATTTGTGAAGCATTAGTCTGAAATTGAGTTTCTGGAATATTTCGGTTTATTTGGTGTTTACTCTGTGACATCACTGCCTTCATACTCAGCATAAACCCACATATCCTTTAGATCAATCCTCATCTGAACTGCACAGTGTTAAACCATCGTACGTCACCATGGTGACGGAAAGGGGACACCACTCTCACACATTTGTGACTGCTTGACAGTTGTACACTTTATGGAAGCCAGTGCAGTGGATGGTGGATCTATTTACTCTATTAATAACACATAATCCCCTGGTTGAAGTATTTTTGTATATTTAGCTCAGATTTTACTTGATATTTACTGGAAGCTGTTAAACTTTGAGTGAGGTTCTGATCTTGCCTGTGACAAGTCCCCGACGAAAAACTTCATCATAAATAACTGCCCTGGACAGCTGAAGAAAATCAGTCCTTTGAACATGCTCCGATCAATAGGCTCCTGGGTCCTTATTTTGCTGAATGCTTATCAGTTTTGACAATTCTTGTGCTGATGAAAATCAATGCAGATGAATCTGCTCTTGGGCTGTTAATGTCTGTAAATATATTGAACAGAACAGAACAGACAAGGTCACATGTATTGTCCACGGAACTGAAAGATAATTGACAATAAGTTGAAACCTTTCATATGTCTTGGTTTACCCTTTTTGTGAAAATCCTGATTTTGTCACTGCAGGGTTCATGCTTGTTGACAAGACGTAAAGATTCTTCATATCAGGCAATTTAGTGACACCAAGTAGGGGTCATTTTGAAAAGGGGGGTGTCGCTTTCGAAACTAGAGCTTCAGACTACATGTTGATACTATAGAAATGAAAAGGAGTGAGTGAGTTTAGTTTTACACCGCACTCAGCAATATTCCAGCTATATGGCGGCGATCTGTAATTAATCGAGTCTGGACAAGACAATCCAGTGATCAACAGCATGAACATCGATCTGCGCAATTGGGAACCGATGACATGTGTCAACCAAGTCAGCGCGCCTGACCACACCCGATCCCGTTAGTTGCCTCTTACGACAAGCATAGTCGCCTTTTGTGGCAAGCGTGGGTTGCTGAAGACCAATTCTACCCCGGATCTTCACGGGCCAAATTGAAAAGGAGCCCCAGTGAGTGAGATTCAGAACCTGAAGAAGTCTAGAAATAAGATATATACATTTACATATGGATCAAGCGTAATGAGATATATACATTTACATATGGGTCAAGCGTAATGAGATATATACATTTACATATGGGTCAAGCGTAATGAGATATATACATTTACATATGGATCAAGCGTAATGAGATATATACATTTACATATGGGTCAAGCGTAATGAGATATATACATTTACATATGGATCAAGCGTATTGAGATATATACATTTCCATATGGATCAAGCGTAATGAGATATATACATTTACATATGGATCAAGCGTAATGAGATATATACATTTCCATATGGATCAAGCGTAATGAGATATATACATTTCCATATGGATCAAGCGTATTGAGATATATACATTTACATATGGATCAAGCGTAATGAGATATATACATTTACATATGGATCAAGCGTAATGAGATATATACATTTACATATGGGTCAAGCGTAATGAGATATATACATTTACATATGGATCAAGTGTAATGAGATATATACATTTCCATATGGATCAAGCGTAATGAGATATATACATTTACATATGGGTCAAGCGTAATGAGATATATACATTTACATATGGATCAAGCGTATTGAGATATATACATTTACATATGGATCAAGCGTAATGAGATATATACATTTCCATATGGATCAAGCGTAATGAGATATATACATTTACATATGGGTCAAGCGTAATGAGATATATACATTTACATATGGATCAAGCGTAATGAGATATGTACATTTACATATGGATAACGCGTCATGATAATACATGTACATTTGAATCAATAGTAATTCATATATGCATCTAGACTTGTTTCATTTTGGGGTTTAGCATTGCAGAAAGGACTGGAAGGAAGGGAAAGTGATGGGGTTCAGGGACAGAGAAACAGATTAACTACATGGTCCTTTCAGAATGGCTGGTGTACGAAGTTTTTCCAGTATTCAAAACTAAGAAAATTTGGAATTTATATTAAATTGTTGAATCATTGCTCGGTGAAATACAAGTCACCTGGCATGAATGAATTCAACTCTAGTTATTGCTATAGAACATGAATTGGGAATATTGTAATTCAAATATTGGTTCTTTTATTGAAATGTGCTGCAAATTCAGAGCTGAATATCATACTTTGAATCAAGGTAAGTTCCAGGATAATATAATATCATAAGGGCTTTATCTCGGGTTCCCAACACAGCCAGAGACTTAAGGCCGATCTCTTCTCTTGTAAAAAGTTGTTGGTCGAGGACCAGTGTGACAGTTGAGCTGCCATCATC